GGAATGAGTCAGACTTTGAATGACGATAGGACGAGATGACGTCACAGTCAAAGTGATGCGAGATATCGAACCTGAAGGCGTAAGACAGGTGAGGGTGGGGGCGGGGGTGCAAATGTAGTCGCAATTCTGCTCTACGGTGCACAGTGGTACGTTTCCCTATTTTCTCTGGACAAAAATATTAAATCAATAGACTGGCACCACAAACCTTTCTTTCATTAGATACAAAGGATAATTATGACGGAACATATGTGTATTGAGTCATTTGTAAATTTTATAATTTTATCAGTTGTAATTTTTGTCATTTTTTGTCATTTTTTATGTATTTTTCTAATTTTCCATTTTTTGTCATCGCCACTAAAATTGCTTAGATATTGCTAAGACCTCTGATGTAAACCTAGAGTCTAAGATTCAATTCACACTTCCTGTCATGTTTCACATATTGAGGCATTTCATGTCACCGCACTTTACATCACATTTTGCGTAATCACACTTGACATCACATTTTACCATTTTAGTTCTCTTCGCGTTATCAAAGATCACATTCATCACATATGGTTCAGTAAATTACAAAATGCGTTGCATCCACATCTTTCGCATTCATCACATTTCTTCCTCGCTGCTTTCTTCATTTGGCCTCTTCGGAACAGATGATGATTCCAGTAGGTTCAGCACTTGCCTTGAAATGCTTCTATGATTTCTGGCTGTTGGAACTCTGATACTTGAGATTGCTGGGTCGGAAGTGGCCAAAAGATGATGAACAAGATCTTCATTTGTTGCAAGTCGACTTGTCTTTCTTGTATGGTCTCTCCTGTAGGCTTTATAGTCCTTGTTGCGACTCTTTTGCGCCTCTTCCGACATTTGGCCAACTGGAAGCAGCGTCTCTTTTATGGTTTGGCTTCCATGCAATAGAACTCTATGTACAGCAGGGGGTATAGGATACCAAGGATAATGGGAAATAAGCAGGTCTGCTGTTTCCCTGGAGTACTTGGAGAAATTCTCCACATCAATCTCAAAACCAGAAGACAGTGCTTGAAGAATAGTGTCGAACCGGGAAATGATATCACAGTCAACTCCTGTGATCCTGGATGCCAAGGAGGCCTGAGAGAAGAAAGCTCTGGCTGTGTTGCCATTATTGCTGGATCCAAACCCATTTTGCTTTGGCTTGTCAACAACCAATGCCATTTCCTTCTTTAATTGCATCTGAATCCATGTCTTTGCTTCTTGTAATTGAGTCTGCAATGCATCCCCACGAGCCTGCCATTTTTTTAAATTCAATCTGTAACTCAGATGAATTACATATTCAAAAAAGCAGATCCAGCAATGAAGTGGAGAAAGGCCAAACTTTAGAGCCTCTGGGTTGATGACACGCTCCTAAACATGGTCCAGGTCATTCATTTCTGAAGGTTTGGCCCCACAAACAGGACATAGTTGAGCACTCTTGGTGTCTGTAATGGCATTGGCAATTTTACCATCAATCATTGTCAAAGCCAACTGATGATAACACTGAATGAAGGAAGCTGAACAGATGTAGGAGTCAGTTGCTGGATTTGATTTTCAATGGCTTTCATTTCCTGTTTAGCTACTTCCACAGTTTCCTTGATAAACTTGAATGCAATCGGTCAACAAAATCTTGCAGAAGATGGCTTTGAATTCTGCCATATAATGACCTTCCCCTCAGATTTTCTTAGGAAAAGTTGCAGTGGAACCAAAGATGTCATGAAAATGCAATCTTCTTTTATTTCCTTGTGAGACTGTGCAAACTTTTGCCTATATTCAGGTTGCCCAGATGTTCCATCAAATCCCCACTTACTGATGAGAATGAAGTTCAAGGGGCATTTGTCCGGAAGTACTTCCAAAACTGGCATCTGCAGCTGAACCAGTCGACTGGCAGTGTGATTCAACAGTAAACATAGGCTGTTGCCATTTCTTTGAGCCTGGCTGGTGATGCTTGAACGACGTCTTTCAATAAGTTGGCGGCATCAAACTTTCTCTCTTGTCGAAGCTTTACTTGTGCTGCAAATGCCAACTCTTCAAGTGATGCCATCTGTGTCAATGTCGCGGTTTTTCGACGTTTAGACCTGTCGCCACTCTCATGGAATGGTTTTTCTGGTCTTCCAACGGAGGCCACTCGAAGAGGAATCTTGCAACAGCCAATCTGTGGCCATTGGAATACAACTTCCAGCCAATTGGCATTACTCACTAAAAACCTCTCTGTCTTTCTGCAAGCCTTCGCCCAACGAACAGAGGCAAGACTTTTGAAAATCTTGACACTTTTCGACAATTGACATGGTCGCGATTCATGAAAATGTTCATTTATTTCGTTGTGGTCTTGAATGAACTTGACCAGCATAGGAATGACTCCTGAGTCAGCATGGTCCACTTGCTTCATCGCCCTCATGGTGTTGCAGAGGTCCCTTCGGATCAAAGGCTTCGGCATTCTTCCGGAAATTATTGCGAGACCAGCAATATAAAAATAATTTCCTCACTTTAGGCGCAGCTGGGCGCAGGAGATTTGGGGCTCATTTTCTTCGTCTTTAATAGGTACTTTATGGCCTGTGAGGAATTCTCTGAAAAATCCAGAGAAGTATTTCAAATTCACTTGATAACTGTGCATTGTCATCCGAAGTAGTTCGCCAATCAACTACACAGGATCTAATAAATAATATACGTAATGCATATACAGCAGGAGTAAAATTATATATACCTGTACAATAAGCAAGACTCACCTTTAGGTACACCTTCAGATCACATTTGATGGAAACAAATTGACAAGAACAGTCACACCACAAGACAAACTTCTGTCATGTTTTGGCATCAAGTACCTATATTTTAAGAAAAGTTCTAATCATTGACCTTTTGCTCCACGTAATGGCTGATAAAGGACCGAAGTAAGGCCTAAGCAAATATAGATACGGGAAAAGAACTTTAACCCGTAACTTTTACTGGGAAAGGATTTTTTCCCCCTCCACTTTCAAATTATGACTTTTGTCCAAGAATTTCCAGCTTTTGTACCACTGTGCGGTGGTGTGCACACGTATTACGGCACAGAGACAGGTAAGATGGCTCGTGCAATATTAGAAAAAGTTTTAGACCAAGTGGTCCAACCACTCACTTCCACATTTGCCGCTTTTCCGGATAGTCCAAAATAATTACGAATTGTTATTCCGAAGTTTCCAACAATTTTTGCGGTATGAGGCTTCTGAATCGGCAGGGTTGGAATTAAGGAGTTTGCACGAGGGTCTCCGTTTCGGTCGTTTCCCTAGCAAAGAACTGCTGCAAAAGACGTATTCCGGGTCTTAATGGCCATAGGCGGTCAAGGCGCCATGCGGGAAGATACGGCGAAAGAATCTCAAACATGGACTTACCCGACCAATTAATCGCATAAGGATTCCTCAGGGTTTTTGGGACAAATTTCCTCCGAAATTCAAATTCTATTTGGACGCCATCGTGGTGATTCACGGAACAATGCGCATGAAATGTCCTTTCGTTAAACGTCGTTAAATCATCGCTAACCGCTATTTCTTTCTCCTATGAACCAATTCATGCGAATTAAATATTTCCCTCTGATTAAAGAATGCATGGACAACCACGTCCTTCATGAAAATTATCCTTCCGGACATAATAACTTAATTACTCACTCCTTTCACATAAACGTATTTGTTACGGCTCAGAATTCCACACGACCCTATTTATGCAATATAGTGGCTCGTGATATTAGTAACGCCGCACGTTTCGATTAGGAATGAGTAAGTCGTAGAATGTGATGCGCGGCAGGACGAGATGACGTCAAAGTCGAAGCGATAAGAGGTGGCATACCTGAAGACAGTTATAGGTAGTTAAAGGTAAAGGAATCTGAACCCTCAACATACCGAAGCGACTTCAACCTTTAATAACCTTTAATGGTTTTCCTCTGGGTTTTTCGGACACCTCGGTGACGGCGCCCTGCAATGCGGCAGTTTGGTGATTTTTGGATGATTCAGCTGCCATTTTTCATAGTCGTCTCGAAATATATTATCCTCGTGTAGTGCTAGGGCCAGGATGGCACTTTGCCTAGCACCGTGGGTTAAAATGAAAGATCAGTTGGAAGCTCCATAATTAATCTATTGGCTTGATATTTTGAAAAAACTAATAAAATATATTAAAATAAATAAAATAAATAAATAAATAAATAGGT